AAAACTTATATGTAATTCATAAAGTAATATAAATAGTAAAGTTATATAAGATACCTTTCTACAAGTACTTAATTATTTTAATACAGTGTAAAGATAACAAAAAAATGCTTCCGGATTATTTTATATTTAGATAAAAGCCTGATGATTTTTGGAGCGTTACCATGTAAATACTATCGTGGTTTTTATATTATTAAATTATACAAAGTTCTGTAAAACCATATTGTTTGCTGAAAGCTTAATGTTGATTGTATTTTCAATGTTTAACATTATACAAAAAGATTACAGCAAAAATTAATATTAGAAAAGATTAGTTTATTAAATTAAAAAGGAAAAAAAATGAATTCAACTACGGAACTAACTCAGGACTTAAATTTAAACACCAATAATCAAAAATGTGAAGAAAATCTTAATTATCCGAGTAGATGGTATTATATAGATAAAGGAATGATTCCAGCAAAACTCACTTGCTTTTTTTCAGGATTAGAAAGATCATCAATTTCACCTTATCTTACCATGTTCTTTATAAGTATTGGTTTAAACCTAAAACAAGCTGGTTACGTGTTTTCTTTTTCTTACGCTGGTTTAATGTTAGGGAGCGTTTTTTGGGGAGTAATAGCCGACAAAACTCGTGCTTATCGAGTTCTTTTATCAATTTTATACACTTTTTTTGCTTTAATTACATTATCCATTCCGTTGATAAGTGCACAAATTGGAGAAAAAGAAAAAAACCAATGTCCTTCATTATTAAGCAATTGTTGTTTTAACGGCACAATGAACTTTTCTACAAATAAGACATCCAAGAATAATACTTCAGTATCCTCAGCAACTATGACGATTGTGATAGCAACCTTGGGATTTTTGGTTTTTTCATTTAGTGGAAGTACTTATAGCTACATTGAAGCAGGAGTCATTTGGAAAATTAAAATGTCGACAAAAAAAAGAGATTATGGTAGACAGTATATGTTTTTAAATATTGGTTTTGCATTTGGAGCTTTAATTTCAGGACAAGTGATGAATATATTCCCAAAAGTAGATCTTTCATGTTATTTTGCTGTATTTTGCGTTAATATTGTGTTTATTATAGCATCATGCATCTGTTCTCAATTATTATACAAAAACATAAACATATCATCGCAAAAAGAAGCTAGATCCGATTCGTTTCAAAAAGACCTTTTCAAAACATTGTCAAACTTTGAAATTGATCTTTTTTTAATAACGACATTTGTAAACGGTTTATTATATTCCATATACTTAAACTACTTTTTTTTGTTTATGAAAGAAATAAAAGCTACGAACCTTTTGGTTGGTTTAACAGTAGCGTTTGGGTCAGTCTCTGGTATGATTGTAAATTTTTTCATTGCAGTAATTATAAAATTATTTAGAGGAACATTTAACACCATGATTATATGCACATTTCTTTGGTCGGTTCGTTATTTCATATTCTACTTCTTGAAAAATCCTTGGTTAATTATACCTTTACAACTTACTCTCCATGGATTAAGTCTGTCTTTATTTTTAAGTGTAAAGTCAATTCATTTAAAAAAAAAAGCTCCAAACAGTGTCCGAAATACGATGTTTGGTATCGTTCAATGTTTACATGGTGGCGTATCAATGATTGTTGGAAGTTTTATTGGAGGTCAATTGTATTTTGCGTATGGTGCTCGTCTAACATTTTTGTATTCTTGCTTTTTTGCACTTGGGTGGACATCACTTTTATGTGTTTACAGAATTGCAATAAAAATATGGAAAATAAAAGCTGGTGGCCAAACTTGACATGCCAGGTAACTTCATGCCAGGTACTTGACATGCCAGGTAACTTCATGCCAGGTACTTGACATGCCAGGTAACTTCATGCCAGGTACTTGACATGCCAGGTAACTTCATGCCAGGTACTTGACATGCCAGGTAAGTACTTCAATGAATATTAGCAATGAAAGTATTTAATTGTGAATAATATTTTTTATAATAAATATACTAGATTCTCCAACTTTTGAAAAAAATGATTTTACTCAAAAGTAAAATTGATTATAAATTTTTGTAAAAAATATTTCTACTGGTGAAGTAAGAAAAATTGTTATCAGTTTTTTATTTTGCTTTTTTTGATGTTTAAAACCATACATATATAAATTATGTAATGTGTATATCTATGCTTTAAACACAACACTATTATTTTAATAATTATTTCAATAATTCTTAACAACAACAAAAAAGCAAACAAAAAAAAAATAAACAAATAAAATAAAATTTTGTTTTTTTTTACCTCTCCTATGGAAAACTGACACCACCCCGGTTTTAATCTTAACTTTAGTCCTGGTCAGATCCTTTAGAATAAAAATGTTTTATAAATATTTTTCTAAAATCTATTTGGTTGAAGAAATAAGGCCACCATAATGACACTTTTTGCTTTTATGTAAAAAAAGAAACACTTTGTTAGAAAAAAGTTAATCTTATTTAAAACATTAACTTTAATCCCAATCAACTCATGATTTTTTAGTACCCTTTTGATAGAACTCTATCCTAATGCTTTGGAAATTGTAAGAAAAGTATTATTAACAAGAAACATACGTGATAAAACATAGGTAAAAAAAACTCATAGTTTTAAATAAGTTTGTAAAACAGAAATTTTTGTTGACAAGTCCATGTTGACATCTGGAAAAATAATTGTTAGAAAAAGTAAATCATAATCTTGTCTTTAACAATTTTTTTCCATTGTTACAGAAAATGTTTACTAAAATAATAATTTTATCTCGTTTTACACCAAATCTTAGAGCTGTTTGTGAACAGTGAAGTTAACTTTTCTTCAAGCTTTATTTTAGGTTTCTATTTTTCGTTTGATTACAGTATTAAAAATTACGGAAGGTGCCGTAGCTATAGTTTTCTAAAAACTCTAAAAACCTTAGGAATTTAAAAAAAAATTTAAGAAAAGCTTAAACTTACCATTACTAATAACGGTAAATTTAAGCTTTTTAAAAATATCTCATGGCATTATGGAGCTAAACATGCATGTTTAGTGAATGCCGTTTTGAATCTGCCTTAAAACGTTCAAAAGTGCAGTTTAGCACAAAGCCTTGTTTTTCATTAAAAAAAATATGAAAAACAGTTTTCGAAACATAAGGTTCCAGATATTGAATTTGGTTCAAGCATAATTTAAGAAAATTTATGCGAATGACAAAGTTGTCCACTTAAAATTTGGTATTTTAAGAGGACAACTTTGTCATTCGCATAAATTATGTCCACTTAAAATTTGATATTTATGAAAGGTTTCATTAAAGTAAGGTTAAAGTGCTACTGGAGATAATCCACATTATGTTTTAAATATAAATAATATCACTTGAATTGATGATAATTATATATCTTATAAATTTACCAACCGTTAAGTTCGCAATGTGCATTCTTGTTTGCCCCAAATATTATCCTACAAGCATATTTTTGTTCGCTATAAATTTTTTTGAGTCTAGTATGATTAGTATTACCCCAGGCAACCTTCCAGTGAGAAAGATAGCTGTGTATAAAAAAAAAATTATATTTTAAAAGACTTATTATTAAGAAACGGTTTTGTGCAATATAACATGGAAATAATTTTTGAGATCTTACTTTTGATATATTTAACATAAAATTTCCAAGAGAATTTTTTTATCTAAAAGCATTCCTAGAAAGTTTAAAGTTAATTCATTTTTAATTTTTATGTTATTAATTATATTATCGGGTAATTTAAGAGGAATATTATCTCCTTTACAAGGTTTATGGAGTAGGATAATCTTTGATAAACCTAAATTTAATAAAATTCAGTTACTTATAAACCACCCAATGATCTTATTTAATTCTTCATTAAAAATTTTAAAAAGAACCATCTTTGTAAGAATAAAATAAATTAGTGTCCTTTGCATATAAGATAGTGTTTAATATTTTTAATGCTAAATATAAGTCATTTATATAAAGAAAGAATAATAATATTCCTAAAATAGAACCCTGGAGTACCCTACAAGTTATTATATTGTTTTTCGAATCTTTTGATTCTTTAAGTACTTTTAATCGCTTTCTGTTAGTTAGATACGATTTATACCAAAGTGAACTTTTGTTTTTAACACTATAATTTTCTGTTTTTTTCAAAATTGTATATAATGATTTACTGTGTCGAAAGCTTTGAATAAATCAATAAAAACTCCAGTTAAATCCGTTTGATATATGTTTAAGCAGTTTAATTATTACATGGCCAGTAGAATTACTAAGTAATATTGATTAGAGTATAAAATTTCATTTTCATTTAAGTATTTATAAAATCTGTTATACATAATGCGTTAAACTAATTTAGAAAAGCAGAGAAAGACTAAAATAGGTCTGCAGTTTGAAATATTAGTATCGTCACCATATTTGTAAATTGGTATTATTTTGCAGTTTTGAATTAATCTGGAATATGAACTGATTTAAATGAGAGATTAAAAATATGGAACAATGAGGGTTTGATAATATTAAAAAAAGATTTGATCTTTTTTATAAAAAAAAAATGTGCAGTTATTGATCAATAACTGCACTTTTTTTTTTTTTTTGAGACTGTTAAAACCATTTTGCAGTTCCCCTTTTATTTCAAAATTGGTACGTCCATAATTATGTCAGTTGTTTAAGATATAAATCAAATCTTTTTCGATTAATCGAACTTTCGCTGTTAAGTATGGACCAACATCAAGGAAAAAACTGTTCAATTTTTCAATAATAACTTCTTTATAATAAAGCAGTTTTCCATCACTATTGATAAAAAAAAAATAAAAAAGAAAACGATCAAAAGTTAATTATTATGCTGAATTGCTTGAAATTAACAAAAGAAACACTCGAAAAACATTGAATGATATTACAGAATTATTTGGGATAACAAAATTGCAAAAAAAAAAAAAAATGACCTCAAAACTTTTTATTGTAATAATTAAAACATAACATATAAATATTTTTATTTTCTTATATTTGAGATACAATGAATATTTGCATTGAAAAAAATATTTAATTATAAGTTTATTTAAAAATACTACAAGATATAAGATCATGAATTCAAATTAATTAAAGAATCAGTTTGTAAAATTGTTTTTGAGATTCATAATATTGATTATTTTAAACCTCAAAAATATTGTAAAGAAATAGAAACTTAAAACTAGGCTTGATAAATAATTAATTTCACTGTTCAAAAACAGCACTAAGATTTGCCCAAATAAAACCAGACAAAATTATCATTTCTAAACCAAGTATAATAATGCAAAAAAAAAAAAAAAAAAAGACAAGATTATGCTGCACTTTTTTAATACAATTTTGTATCCAGATGTCAAAATGCTTTACAAACTTACTTAAAATTTTTTTAAAATTAAAATGTTTTTTCTCGAAAAATTTTCACGTAAACTTCCTGTTAATAATACTTTTTTGGCTTTTTCCGAAGCAAAAAGTTCTTTCAAAAAATTACTAAGAAATCTTGAAATAAATGGGAATTAAGTCAATGTTTAAATCGAAATCGTGAAGATTTTTTTACGTTTGTTCTTATGTAATTTAAAGGAATTGTTTGTTGCCTTTAAAACCAAGAACCCTGAAACAAAAATAGGATTTTCAAGGTTTTGCACCTTGCGACCTAAATGGTGTATTACTGTTGGTGCCTCAGGAACACATTCTGTACGCGTCTGTGCTATTCATCAGAATTTGAAACTGCTTTTAGATCCTCTTGGTGTGACATACAAAGAATTATTACCTTATATTGTCTGTGATATAACTGATAAAGACTGTATGATGAGGAAATGTGAAAAATGCCCAGCAATTATAAATGGATTGGTTGAAAAACGTTATGATATACTTGGAGAATTTGAAGATGATGATGAGATTGAATTTGATCAATGGACAACAACAGATAGGTCAAACTTGACACATAATAAAGAGCCAGTGTTTGAATACATTGAACTAGTATGTAGAAAACTAGAAAAACTTGTAACACATTCGTATTTAGCAAAGAGTCAAGCATTATACCTGAGATCAAGAAAGGAAGATATGAATGAGATGATTTTTCAGAAAACTATAAATTTGTAGTTCAGAATGAAGTGCAAAGCTTTTATTGAACAAATTTACAATGTACACTTCATCCAGTGATTATTTATTTCAAAAAAGAAGGCATTCTCAAGCACAAATCCTATTGTATTATTTCGGATGGTATGATCCATGATGTGAACATGGTGTATAAAATTATTGAGGTTGTTTGCAATGATATAAAAACAAATTTGCCTCAAATAAAAAATATTGAATACTTTTCAGATGGGTGTGCAGGTCAATACAAGAATTGCAAAAATATGTTAAGTCTTTGTTTCCATTGTGAAAATTTTGGTTTTACTGCTAAATGGAACTTTTTTGCAACTAGTCACGGTAAGCAACCTTGTGATGGGATAGGTGGTATAGTCAAACATCTGGCAACACAAGCAAGTTTGCAAAGAGATATGGATAATCATATTTTATCTCCACAAACAATGTATAAATATTGCAATGAAAACATTGAAGGCATAAATTTTACATATATTTCATCAGAAGATTTAACTTTAGTGAGAACCGCTCTTAAAGAACAATTGGATACTGCTAATACATTACCTAGAACACGTAGTTACCATCAGATTGTACCACTTGGCCATCAAAAGGTAAATTAATATTTTTTGATTATACCTTTTACCATATTTTAAAATACATGCAAAAATTTTTTGATAAACTCAAATAGATATTAGATTTTTGCAGAATCATTATCAAAAATATTTTATTTTATTTTATTTCCTCTGCATTTGCTATCTATGCATTTAATAAAACATGTTTAATATGTAAAACGGAATAATTGCATATGTTACTGTTTTGTTTAGGTAGGCACTAAGCTATGCAGTGTTGATGAAGAATTTGCTTTAATTCATGACTTGGGAAATATCCCGATAACAACTGTAAACCTAGTTCCAGGTGATTATGCTTGTGTTTCCTATGAGCAAAAGTGGTGGATAGGAGTCATTGAAGATATTAATTTAAAAGAAAAAGATGTGCTTGTAAAATTCATGTATCCTAATGGTCCTGCACGGTCGTTTAAATGGCCATCAAAGGAAAGCCAATGCTGGATTCCTGATGTCCGCATTATTTGCAAAGTTGAGGTACCGATAACAAAAACAGGACTTTGCTACTATCTAGCCAAAGAGGACTTAAAAAAAATTATTTTCCTAAGGAAGTAGAGATTTTTATTTTTATGAGTCTATTATTTCTTATCTATTCTTTTTTTAAATATTATGTTTTGTGAACCAACTTGTAAATAATGTGAATTTAATGCATATATAAAATCACTAAAGTTTAATATTTTTTAAAATAAATTTATATACGTTTAAACTTTGTTGTGAATATCATATGAAAATGAAAAAGAAAAGTCACTAAATTTTTAGTTTCTAATTTGATTGATTGGTAAAAAGTGGGGTTATATTAAGTGTCTAATTTTAAAAGTATTAAAAAATTTTGTGTCTATATCAAACATCAGTAATTCCTCAAGTAAATAAAAGGCCAAAACATAATTGGTTCGAAAAGTAGGTGTTGATCTTATTTTTAAGAAAATCGAAATTAAATTTTTTTTACATTAGTCAGATTTTTTTTATAGCTATAATTGTCAATGCTCTTTTTTCACGGCGTTATAAAGTGTATTTTACGGATCTTAAAATAAGCTACATTCCCTTGTTTTGACTTATAAAAACTAGAATTTTCGGATTTAACAGGTTTTAAACTGTTTTGGTACAAAGTTTCAGAATTGTGGCATCACAATAAGCACCATATAAGGTGAAAGTAACCGAAATGCTTTTCGGATCTTTTCCCCCCTTATTTTTTAGTCAAAATCAAGGAAACTTCAAATTGCTGTAAATTATAAACGGTACGGAATTTTATGAAAAAAAAAAAAAAATACAATCTTTCCTAACATATGTCTATAAACATTTGTGCCAAGTTTCAAATATTTTAGTGATATAGGGTGCAGATTTGTGTTTTTTTGTGTTTTTTGAGAAATTTTTACCCAACGATGTTTAAGTGTAACTATTAAAATATAACGATGTTTAAGTTTACTAGCAGTAAGCAACCCATAATACGGGTTGTTAGTAAATAAAATTAAAAAAAAAAACCGCGTATAGAAAAGTCTAGAAACTACTTTAAAATAGAAAAGCCTAGAAAATGACATAAGTCGACTATTACTACTATTAAATTTTATATTTAATAGTAGTAATAGTCGTATTAATATTAACAGATTGTATTCATTAAGTTTAACTCTGATTTACAATTTTTATGGAAAGTTTATTTAAATTAATATATTTATTGCAAAACCTTTCAAACATTTTTTTTTTTATTTTTTTTTTTACAAAATTATAAATATTTACAGATTTTTATAATACATATTGCATACTTATATATAAGCAGGGCCGTACCAAACGACGAAGACTTCAGGGGGAGGGGGAGGATATGTCGTTAAACAATCTAAATCACGCATAAAATCACATAAAAAAAAACATAGTTTAGTAATGATAACAAATTCCCAGTGAGAATGGTAATAATGGTCCGTTAGCGGCGCGCCGACGCTGGCTAAATATTGATGGTCCGAAACGGGCCTTGCAAGGCGCGCCAACGTCGGCATAACTAAAATGGACCGAATGCAGCTTTGAACTGGCATGACAACGGCGGCGTGCCTACATCAAACCTACAGCGAACCATTAGCGGCTGCCCGACGTTGGAACACCGATAGCGAACCAGCATCGGACCGTAAAAGTACCATGCGTTTTAAAAAGATTTATTTCCAAATAAATCATAGAAAAATTTTACGAATATGTTTAATTTTTGGTTATTATTAAGATCATAATATAACAGTTTACATATATAATAAATTCATTTTTTTAAATGGTGGTCACTAGTTTATCATTAAGATCCTAATATAATTATGTTATTATTAAGATCCGAATACACTAAGGCATATTCGTTTATACGCAACAATTTTTTTCTCTTTGTCTTAATTTTTTTCTATAAATTGTCAACTGATATGCATGCAAGTTTTTATCAAAATAACTGTTGTGTTGTGGGCTAATAAAAACCACAAAAAAAAAAGTGTTCTATGTGTCTTTGTTAACATGAGAGTATGTTTGACATACAAAAGCACATTTTTTAATTGAAATATATCTATCGACGCAATCAGGTTAATAACTGTAATTATTGATTTTTAATCACTTTTACACAATTAAATTGATAAATTTTAGTGTAATTTGATCTTTTGCACTGCCAGTATGATTTTTATTGCATTTTACAAAATGTCGAAAGGAAAGTATTTGAAAGATGCTAAAAAAATACAAATTAATTTATATCGTGGCTCAGAAATCTCACCAGCAATTTTTATACAAGAAATAGCAAGAAAAATTGGAAGATCTGACCATGTTGTACGAAACTACATTGCAAAAGGTGACAATTACGGTGTAAAAAAAGCAACAAATGGCAACAAAGTATTAACAAATCGATAAATTAATCGAATTCGCTTCGAAGCAACCAAAAATGAATTGAACGCAACACAAATAAAGGATAAACTAATATTGCCTGTCACCAATAAACATGTTGCACATATTCTACGTACAACACCAATGCATTGAACTCATGAGTGGCAAAACGTAATACTTTCAGATGAAAAAAAGTTTCACACATACACACACACACACACATTTTAATTTTTGAATTTTCAAGTTTTTCCATATTTTAGGAGCCTGTGACATAATTGAAAATTCAGAACCCCGGGTTTTAGTTTTTTTAATATAATGTTTATGGAACCTATTTGATCGTAGATTATAACTTTGAAAAAATGATGACGAGAATATGTGTAAAAAAGAATTTGGTATCATATTATTTTTATATTTGAACATAAAAATAAGAATCTGATATAAATTAAGTTTTTCCAAGTTTAAGACTTTTATATTTGTCATCGCATTGGAAGGATTGTCCATTCTACCTAGATAATGAATTGCTTTACAAGCATGGTTTTGCAAGCCTTGTAGTTTGATTAATTTTGTTTTGTGTGTATTAGCCCACACTATATTAGCATATGTGAGATGACTGTGAATTAGACTAAAGTAAAGTTTTTTTCTTGAACAGAAATCAAGAAACTGGCGACATTTTTATAAAATACCTATTGCAGATGATATTTTTGTTTCAATGTGTCCAATGTGATTTCTCCATGATAAATTTTCATCAATATGAACACCAAGAAACTTTGCATATTTTTCCCGTTTTATTGTTATGTTGTTAATGAGCATTTTTGGAATTTTTAACGGTAGAGACATTGATTGACCTGTTTTATGAAATAAGATGTAGTTGGTTTTTCACAGTTTAAGGATAGTTTAATTGCTCCAAGCCATAAATTAAAGTTTTCCAGTTCAGTATTCATTGTTTCGAACATCGATTTTAAATTACTATGATTATAAAATAAAGTTGTGTCATCAGCATACATTATTGAAGATACTATAGATGATGCTTTATGGATATCATTGATGTAAATTAAAAACAATAACGGTCCTAAGATTGAGCCTTGAGGAACCCCACACTCAATATCAAGAACACTTGAGTCTTTGTTTATTACAAACTGCTTTCTGTTACTCAGTTAACTTTTTACCCATTAATACATTAGTCTTTTGATACCATAATATTTTAACTTTGATAGTAAGATGCTGTGGTCAACTGTATCAAATGCCTTTGTAAGTTCTATAAATACTCTTAATACATGATCCCCTTTATCAAAAAATTAAAATATTTTATTAGTAAGTTCAATGATAGCATGTTCTGTTGAGCATCTTTTTTGAAAACCAAATTTATTTTCATATAAAAGTTTGTTAAACTTCAAGTAGTTAAAATTCGATTGTATATTACTTTTTCATAAACTTTAGAGAACACTGGTAAGAGAGATATTGGACGGTAGTTAGACATATTATTACAATCTCCATTTTTATAAACAGGATTGACTTTAGCAATTTTTAACATATCAGGAAAAGTACTGTGTTCAAAAGAAGACGATATTAGACGAAATAAGGGTTTTCTAATACATTCAATGATGTGTATTGCTACATTACTAGTAATGTCATCATATCCGCATGACTTATTTTGCTTTAGTTCAGTCAGAGCTTTGTTAAACTCTTTATAGGATATTTTTTCATTTGATATACACGATAGGGTTTTTTTTCCAATAAATTCATCAATTTTCTTATTTGGCATCACTATTTTTGAAGCTAGACTGGGACCAAGATTTACAAAGTGTTTGTTAAATTCATGGTAAATATCTGATTTATTTGTAATATATTTATCACAAAATCTTATTTTGAGGTATGCTAAAGGATTTCTTTTTTTCTCTGCCATTTACTTCATTTATAATCGACCATGTTTTTTTTATGTCTAATTTATTTTTATTTAGCAGATTAGAATAATACATTATTTTTAGTTTTCAACTTTTTATGTTTATTAAATTTTGGGCCCCCCAAATGTTGGGGCCCTAGGCCATGGCCTAGTCGGCCTATAGGTAAATCCGGCCCTGCATGATTTAAACGGAATAAATGACCCACAAACAAAACGAAATTATGGTGGAGGAAGTTTAATGGTTTGGGGGGGGGGATTTTTTTATTCAGTTTTTGATTATTATATTGTTTTCAATTGTTATATTTTGGAATTTTTCATAGAGCAAATAAAGTTGTTGACCAAAACAGTGGTGTCTCCAATGCCCTTGTCTCAAATGCAGATAAATGAAAGCTACTCGAAAGGTCACTTGATATACGGAAATATATGTTATATTCTTAATATACCATCAAATTAAATTTACTTTACATTAGGAGACAAGGACATCATAATCACACAATCAAATGTTGTTTAATTGTTATTGTTGTTTCATTTTAAGTTTTGCCCAAGTTCTATTAATTGATATGTCACCACAATGCTCATTGTTGTCAATGAAAGGTAAAATTTAATTCTTCAGGTCACATACTTAGAAACAACATGTCTTGATTATGAGGTTAAGCTGATTATCATGTTGAATCCTGTATTGGGGCAGGAGAGGCTCTTTATCCGTGTTGAGTGTAGCTTACTTAGTATAAGTAACTTTTCCTGTTATAAAACCCTGATGTAAAACCATAGTAATAACCATTTTAGCATAGTAATAAAACTTTATTTACTATTTTCATTTTATTGTTTTAGGAACAATGAATAAAACAATGGTCACTTTATTGATAGAGGTGAAAACATTCATTAAAGATTTACAGCGTCAACCTGAACTCAACACCCGGCTTCTTCAAACACTGCTGGATTATAAAAACAATTATGATGACAGTATGATTGAGGAATACAATCTTCTTGGTAACATGAAAAATTTAGATGTGTTTGATAGTTTGTTACAGCGAGACAAGTCGATTTTCAACAAATTGGTAAGTGTTTTGATTTTTAAAAAAAAAGTCGGAAAAGTTCTAATCAAAGTATGATATATTTTTAAATATTTAATTATTTTTCTTATTTGATTTATTATTTATTTTATAGCGATTATTCTTGCTAGCAAAGGTGGCCAGTCACTGAGAGAAATTGTAAAAAGGGCCATTAACTTATTATTAACAAAGATCTACAACGAAAGTTTAACTGGAGTGGTAGTTGGGCCGGCTGGAGTTGAAAAAAACATTTTATCTAAAAAGGCTTTTTGCAAACTTAGTTGTTTTTAGCGCTGCAGAGTAAGTAATTTTATGCGAGTAACTAATGTGTAACATGTATTTAAATCATCAGAAAAACTAATTTTAATTATTATATATAGCAAAAAATGTTCCTATTTATTGTAATATTTATTACTATAAATGTACGATCTATTTTGTCTAATTAGTGTCAATCTCGGCACGTTGTGCATTTTAATATGTTTGTATTATAGGAAAAATCAGTAAACATTTACCAACAAGATCAGTAACCGAAAGCGAGTTTCAAGTTGAAGTCGTGCGTTTTTAACGAGGAGCTGCAGGCAGGAATGGGGGGGGGGGGGGAGAAAAATTAAAGGCGTAAATAGGAATACGCTTGAAAGAGATTCTTCTTCAAGTTAAAAATATAATTCTCAAGTAATGAGAAGTTTAAATAAGAATTACATGTATCTAATTATATTTTTGATATCTAATAGTTTATGAATTCAATCTTTTGTTTTTAGGCGAAATAAAGCGGTTTATTTTCTTGCCTCTGTATTGAAAATAACGAATATTAAATTATTTTTGATTATTACTTTACTGATTAATACTTTTATTTTATTCATTTAAATAAATTATTTCGTCAAAAATTGGACCGAATGCTGCTTTGACCTGGCAAGCCGAAGGCGGCGTACCTATAGCTAACCTACAGCGGGCCATTTGCGGCTTGATATTAAAATTTCAAAGAAAAGATAGTCTTAATAGAAAATAACATGCTTTGAGCAGATTAGTTAATGTAATCCCAACAAAAAGAACAAATATATGGTGTGTGTGTGTGTGTATGAAATTTTGCACGCCATTTCAACCGAGCTGTTGATGGACCTATGGCGGCTAGCCAGCAGCAAACTATTGCTAAACCTACATCGGCTTGCCGTTAGCGGGCCAATGTTGCACCAATACCGGCTTATATCGGCTTGCCGTCTGCGGACCATCAAATAACAGATGTGCAAGCCTACGAGACAGCGTTGTGGTTTGCCGACGTCGGGCCAGCATGTGCGCTGCAAGAGGCCTGATTGCGGCCCACATACATCTTGCTCACTGGAAATCGTATATTACAATAAGTTGAAGTCTTAACACACCTAGGTTTTTGTTTTTTATTTTATATATTTACACTTTTTTTTTTATATATATTTATTTTTATCGCTAAAACATACTTACAACAGTTATACATTGAAAATTATCAAAACGGTAAGCCACATGATATTATAATATTCTAGAATATACAATGCATTGTGATAGAATTATTAAATTGGTTAAAATTTAAAATGAGGTGAGTTTTATATGTAGGGGAAAGCGGGGCAACATGGCGAATGGGGCAAGATGGGTTTTTATATAACAACTCAACAAAAAATCTTAAAACTGGGTGAAAAAAAAACTGTATTTGCATCTTGTATTTTAAAACACCAATTGTTTTCTTGAAATATTATTAACGCAATTTTATACGCATAAGTTTACTTTTTGCGCCTAAAAATTAGTTCTTTACTTTCGGTTTCTTATAATGGATGGTGTCCTTCAAGTTCAACTTCTTTATAGTAGTTTTTTGCGATTTGTGTTCATTTTTTTGTTACTTTAGTTAGAGTTATTGGTAGTTTTTAAAATATAACAAAATTTAAGGTAAAAATTGCATAACAAGTCATCTTGCCCCGGTCACGTGACCAGATGACAAATTTATGAACTTTTTGTTTTAATATTTATTTTAAATTGTTATATTTGCAAACTGAAAATTCATGCAGGCAATGAATCATTTTAATAACATAAACATACTGAGAAAGTATCACGGCTTCACGACTAATAGTTTTGCAATAACTCAGGGCTTTCAAAACGCTCGCCATGTTGCCCCGCTTTCCACTATGGCCTATATGATAGCCACATCAAATTTAGAACGTATTTATTTAAGGATTATGCCACATTAAGTGTAATAGTTATGTGAACCGCATTATGTGTTCCACAAGTGGGCCACACTTATCTTCATCAAATACGTCATTCATCATCTGAAATATATTTTTGCACTTTTAATCCACACGAAGGCACTATGACCACATGTGGGCCACATATACCTTTCTTGTCGGGTATTTATCAGTCATTGTATGTCCTTTTTTTTTACTACCAAATTTATACACATCATTTTATGTACTTTACTTTTTTGTAAACTTTTCAAGTTTGCATTTATGAAAACTTGCCCTAATGACAGTGTTGGCATTTCCTTTTTGCGCATTTAAGTCAGTTTTGTCAATTCAACCTGCTAATTTTTAAGGAGTGCAAATATTGTAAGATATTTTTATTTTTTTCACTGTAATAGTTGTTATGTATATGTTAAAAGCAATCTTTCCATTTTATTTTTTATATGCCATTTTGTTATTTTATAAGGTTAAATATGCTACATAATAAAACATAATACAATAATACAGTTGAAAGATGTTTTATTTTCAGTATGAATTGTTGAATATTGTAAAGAGGTTATCGCTAATTTTCTTTTTTTCTTTATTTTTCAATATTTTATTTTTGTATGCATAAATTGCTTTATTTGAAATCAACAAGATTAAAATATAGTATTTATATTTAGAAGAAGAGAATGAAATAGGTATATTGTAAGATATAAAATCTGTTTTAACCTTTGTTAAAACTAAATATAAAACTATAATTTAATCTTGTTGATTTCAAATGAAAAAATTTATTGTTATACAGTGTATTAAAATAGTTTTTTTTTTTTTTTAATTTGCATTTGTTGGTCGTGTTACAACTATATATTGCCAAAAAAAAAAAAATGATAACAATAATAAACTTTCACAAATATAAAATAAGGTATCTTAAAGAAGATCAAGGGATCCTGTCGTGAGAAACTTAAATAAATTCAAACAAGCATTAACAGTATCAAATTTATACAAATTTCATATATATATATATATATATATATATATATATATATATATATATATATATATATATATATATATATATATATATATATATATATATATATATATATTATCCAAATATATATTATATAATCCAAAGAGAGATCACGCGGATCTACTGTAATAGAATATAGTATCCGCCTAGAATATCATATCCCCCATAAGAAGATTAAAAACGCAGACGCGATTTAAAGTTATAGCATTTAGAAGTGCACCTACGCCGTCCGAAATAAATTTCGGACATAAACAAAGAATATATGGTTAAAGTAAAATCAAATATATATATATAAATATATTTTAAGTATAAAATTGATACTATATCGCATATTTTACTTAGTTTTATAACGAAAACGATTCTTATACAGAGGGGATATGATATTCTAAGTATAAAATTGATACTATATTGCATATTTTACTTAGTTTTATGTCGAAAACAATTCTAATACAGGGGATTTATGATATTTTAAGTATAAAATTGATACTATATCGCATATTTTACTTAGTTTTATAACGAAAACGATTCTTATACAGAGGGGATATGATATTCTAAGTATAAAATTGATACTATATTGCATATTTTGCTTAGTTTTATGTCGAAAACGATTCTTATACAGGGGGGATATGATATTCTAAGTATAAAATTGATACTATATTGCATATTTTACTTAGTTTTATGTCGAAAACGATTTTTATACAGGGGGGATATGATATTCTAAGTATAAAATTGATACTATATCGCGTATTTTACTTGGTTTTATGTCGAAAACGATTCTTATGCGGGGGGGGGGGGGGGGAATATGATATTTTAATAAGTTTTATGTCGAAAACGATTCACTGTTATATTGTTTTTAAACTAGACAAAATAGTTTTTAAAACAAAAATTACTGCTGGCTATGATTACTGCTATATATGAATCTAATTTTAGTTTACTACTTTGGGAATTTTATATCATTTACTAAGTTTATTGTATTGGTAACTTTTTTATTACTAAAAAAAGAATTTTGTTATAAAAAAAAAAGTGTAAAATGCATAACATCCCAACTATTACAATACATTGGAGGGCTTTCATTGGAAATGATTTTTTTTTTAACATTTTCATTTCCAACAAGACTGGAAGTACCTACTGTTAGAGAAAAGATGAAATTCATAGAGCAAAATAACAACTAACAGAAAAATTAGTAGATTGTGTATTATATAAATAAAAAAAAAAGCTGAAGCAAGTGAAAAAAAAGTTTCACGAAAAAACAGATAAGAATTTTTTGGGCACTTAGGAACAGTCATAGTAAAAGGATTAGCCTTTATTGAATGATGAGTAACACAAAAGTGAATTTTAGTAGATGACACAAGAGACGCTAGCTCTTTAGAGCAGTGTCCATAATAGTATTTATAAAAAATAAAAAGAGAAGCTAAATTATGATAATGTTCTAATGGTTGGAGATTGGCTGTAAGAGCAGGTCAAGGTGCAAAAACAATTTCTTTTTGTACCTTGTCTAAAAGAGAAAGACCATTACTGGAAGATCTGATTAAGATATGACAAAAGTGTTTCATGCAGGGATGGATTTAAGATTTATAGAGATAAGATATTTATAAATATTTATAGAGATGTTTGAATTGATGTATACTTTTAAATTTAATATTGTATCATTGTATAATACGTCATACATGTAATTAACATGCTTATACAAATTCCTGTATGACATTCAGTTTATATAATTGTTGCGTTTAGGATTTTTGTAATTTAGTTTTAGAAGAGAAGAGAAAAATCGTGTATGCTTATAATTATGTTATTATACAATCATAAGTTGACAATATATTCAAAGACTGGCAAAATTTGGCACAATTTTTTTAAGCAAAAGGTCTTTGCACACCACCAATTAAGTATTTATATTTCAAGAAATGTTTATTGATAAAAGCTTGCCTTAATTTACATAAATAGTAATATTTGTAGATATTATCTACTAGGTAATAATTTATATTAAAAACTAACCTTTATATGTCTCTTTTTCAAATATGTTGATATTTTAGCCCTGGCTTTTAGTTTATGACTCAAAATTTAAACATCAATTCTTGAGGTTTAACTATCTTATCATTTCTAAAAGTATCAAGTGTAAACAGCCTAACTCACCATACCTAATCAAAATAAAAGAACATTATAAATTCGCATCTTTTTAATTTTATGAATGATTTTTATTTAAACATTAAAACAATCTTTTGCTTGAAATTTAATGCATATATTTCATAAAGCAAATAAAAATTAAATAATATATACATAAACTCTAAACTATATACAATAAGTTTTTTTTATTTATTTAATCTAATAAACTCTAACTGTAACTATAACTCTCAGCTAGAATATCAAATAAATAATTCTAAACTATAACTTATAATTATAAAAAATTTAACTAATTATAAAAATATAAACAGTTTAAAAAAAATAAAATCCAAACGCTAAATAATCTATAATATTACATTGAAATAATAACAAAATCAGAAAAAATTTCAATAATAACATTGTTTTTGTTGTTGTTGAACTTATCGCGATACTCGATTTCCCGGTTTTCGCTTTTAAACTTTTCGCTTTAACGTTCTTTCGCTTAAAACTTTTCGCTCTTACGTTCTTTCGCTTTTAAACTTTTCGCTTTTACGTCCCATTACCAAAATTGATACTATATCGCATATTTTACTAAGTTTTATGTCGAAAACGATTCTTATACAGGGAGGATATGATATTCTAAGTATAAAATGTTTTTAATGTTCTTTGTTTATATGCCTGGGTTTTAAAAATCAACAAACAAAAACAACGTTGTTTTTCAAAAGTTCAACTTTTCAAAATCAATGATTTTAATTGTTTTGCAATCAACTCTGATCATGGCAGACATATCTAAAATTATAACATCAATCTAAATAAGTTGTTTATATTATGACGTTTTATTTATTTTAAAATGAAAACAAAAAAATTAAGTACAAAAGTCAACAAAGTAGCGCTAAAATTGAAATGATTATGTTAACAGCTTACATTAGAAAGAAAAACGTTTGAGCAAGTAAATAAATCACTTGTTTCTTTTGCATAACCAATGCATTCCATATGAAACCATCTATTTGGAATGCAGTTAGCACATTTTATCTATAAAACAGTAGTGGTTTTTCAGGTAATGCACCTTCTTTTAGTTGATTAAAAATAAACGTTTAACTTTAAAACGAAATAATAAAAAACGTAAGCAAATCTAGTTAATATACCCATTTATCTGACTTTTTAATTTGTTGTGTACTTGGTCCTCTTTCATTCCCACAGATTCGACAAAGTTTATCTTGCCATCTTCTCTGATCTATTAATTTAAACAATCACCACAGTTTATTATTTTTTTTAAAGATTCCTTTTTGTCAACATCAAAACTACTGTTAACAGACCTCCTCTTTCCATAAGTAAATGCACCACTTTCTTTATAAACTCTATAACATCTTCTAGTGGAAAGTTAAGCGCCAACTCTGATTCATTTATATAATTTTCAGCAAACTAAAAATAATTATTACAACCTCTTGATATAATTCAATGATACAATTAAAACTAAAAAGAAATTATTTTTGATTTCTATTATTTCGTTTTAAGTAAATATATGAATGTTATGACTTCATATGGTTTCACCACAATATGCATGCAGTACTAAGATCATGCAGGTTTACTTAAAGGTTATATTACTTTTATGATTAGATTATATTTAAATCTTTTCCTTATGCTTTTGGTTTAAAATTTTTGACACTTTGATACACAGTAAATACTTTTATATTTTGTCACTGAGTCCACATTTTGTGATGCGCTTCTAATTTTTCCAAACAATTTATTTGTTCAAATTTATCACAACTACATGTTTTAATAAAATTACCTTCAGACAAAAGACTCCACATGATATATTGTCAGTTTGTAACGCATGTGGTAATGTCACTAACTCGAATTTCTCTATAACACTGTATCTTTGCATCAAGTAACTACTAAGTTATGTACAAAAAAATTAATTAATTCTTTTTTAATATCTGATTAATTTTGAATTTCAAATTTCAAAATTTAAAGTCATTGATATAATAACATACTTCCACTTTTTTTCTTCTTTTAATATAGAAGCTTTGGTTTCACCAAGAGGGTTAATATATAGGATTATTTTCTCACTTGGTTTGATAATCTCAAGAAATAAAGTCTCCAAATTAATTATAGAAATTACACCACAATAATAAGTTCAGTATTTTCCAACTAAACTACTGAAAATAATAAATATGTGTGGTTTAAAACTGGTTGGTTAACATTGGAAAACAAAACCTTAGTCGCACATTGAAAATATTTCTATATAAAAGAAATGGCACATTAAAAAAAATATATTGTAATAATTTTACTGTAAGTGTCCAATGAAAATTCAAAACAACACAGCATATTAAAATATCAAGCTTAAAGAGCTCATTCTGAAATGAAATAAAAATTTTATAAGCATTACTATATATATATATATATATATATATATATATATATATATATATATATATATATATATATATATATATATATATATATATATATATATATATATATATATATATATATATATGTATATTTATAACTGTTTTATCCAACAGTACAAAACAATAAATTACCACATGTTTCCTTCTTATCAAGTCAGTTGGATGTGGCAACTCTTCTAATGAAAGTAACCCAGCTGGCGCCAATACTTCGATTTGATACTTATTATACATTCAAATGTATATATATATATATATATATATATATATATATATATATATATATATATATATATATATATATATATATATATATATATATATATATATATATATATATATATATATAGTTTAAACAGCATAGTAGTAAATATTTAAACAGGTAATATAAGATACTTCAACGCTAGAATATTGTTATTAACTATTTTTTCTAAAAAAAATCTTACCTTTTTCTGATCGCTTGCCAAAAGTCTAAGATAAACGTAAACAACTTCATCGCTTAGACAGCCATTTAAAGCATCATGTAACGAGTATATCTTACAACCACCTAAACTGGAATAGATACCCATTACAGCTTTAATAGGTTTAATCTGACAAAGATATTCCATCAGTATATCACCTATTTTGAATTGCAATAGTGCTACATCTTATGATTACAATTAAATACTATAGACTATTAACATATACTAAAAAAACATCATAAAACTTTCAAAAAGATTAAAACTAAACATTTTATTATTAGTTATTTTATAAGTAGTTATATTTTTATATTTAATTGGTGTGCCATTACATGCTAATTAATTGATTGGTGTGCCATTAAATGCTACGTACCTTTAAAATCTTCGATCAGGCAACTTATTTTTGTATCTGTTACCACTATAAATATACATGAAGCATATTTACATATTATAGACATATTTGATTTTAGCAATTAAAATAACAATAAGATAATTATTGTAATGATAATTATTTTATCGAAAAGAATTAATGTGACCAGAAAGAAGTAGGGTTGAGGAAGAAGTTTCTTTTAATCTGTATTTTGATGATTACTGGTGCATGTCATAAACCCATTTATACATCTTGCTGGCCTCTGATTGTAAAAAAAGTCTTTTATATCATACTCTATGACAGAACAATATATACCTTCAATGTTTTCAACATTGCTGCAATGTTCTGTAACAGTATTCTCTAAAACATTATCTAGAAATTAAATTATTGACTTTATTTTACATTTTCTAATATATTGGAAAACTATTACTTTAAAAAATCCCGTTTTAGTCAAACTCTCAGGGGTAACAGATAAATAGTACAACCTATGTATATAAAAACGATATGTATCATCCTGTTGGACCGTTATCCTGCTACTGGTAACATGTAGTCCAGTACAACCTGATCATGTTAATGTCAGGAAGGACATTCGGTTGTAAAATATTGCTTCAACTCTCTCATAATGGCATTAATGTCATTATGAAAACCATCCAAACCAAACATAAAATTACATCTAAAAATTACATTTAAAAAATTATAAACCGCACAGCATTTTTCAAAATAACTATAAATTATTATAAATTTATATAAAATAGAAAAAAAAAAATTTTTTTTCAATTTAAAATTAGTTACTAATTTTTTCTTTCAACAATTAAATTAAATATTACATACTTTTCTCCAAACTTTCAATGAACTTTTTAATATGCAATTTTTTGTGAGTGCTTTTTAAAGGAATGTTATTCAAATCATTGAGTTTAAAATTCTCACATTTTGTAATATGGGCTACATAATAAGGTCCTTTAAATCTTGGCTTGAATGCAGCCCCTTTGCTTCTTCTTCCTCTTATGTCCAGAAGTAAAACCTTATCTCCTACCATAATTGGGTCAGCAGATACTTTACAATTTTTTTGGACTCTAGCATCATAATATTTTTTTTGTTTTGCTTGAGCATCTTTGATGTTTTAAAATCAATTGAGTGTTGATACACAACTATAATTTTCTAAAGATAATGTGTACAACTTTTGGTCAGTCATTATCTCAACTAAGTAACTCAAGTTACACTTACCTTAGAAATTAGATTTGTTAAATTTTCAACGTGGTTCCTATTTTTTTCAACTTCAACTATAACTTCTTCCTCTGTTGGACCCAAAACAATAATTTCCTTAAAATATTATGCAATTCCCTTAATAAATGCACTTGTAATTAATAAAATAAACATTTTTTTTTTTAATTTTACAAAATGTATTTACTTCTTTTAATTCACTACTAAAAACTGGTAAGCGACCCCCAAACATAATCTCAAATGGTGAAACTTTTGTAGAGGTTTGTCTTTCAACTCGTAGTGGATACAAGACTACATCAAGAAATTCATCCCAATTGGACTGATTTTCATCAATTAGTTTTCTTATTTTTCTAATAAAAACCCATGAAATAAAGTAACAAAATAATTCTGTTACAAATAGGTTCTAACAAAATTTAATTTAATTGTTTTTATATAACCAGTATAGAATTTAAAAATACACAAAATAAGACTGAATGCCTTTTTATATTTTTGTTTGTGTTTTCATCTTGGCCATTTGTTTGAGGATGATAAACAGCCGTTTTTCTTCGCTCTATTCCTAACAACCTATACATTTCGTTGTTTAACTAGAAAGAATGTAAAATTTTAGTAATCTCATCAAAATATTTTGTTTTAAATTAATGTTTTAAAAGTTTTTACCTCATTACAAAACTCTAAACCATTGTCAGAAAGTATTACAGATGGAAACCCAAATGTAGTTACTAACTTAATTATTGACTTGGCTACCGTTAAAGCCTCCTTATTTGGCAATGCATAAGCAACAGGCCACTTTGAAAATAAATCAGTGCAGCTCATAAAATATCTATTTCCCATAGATGTTTCTGTAAATGGACCAGCAAAATCTATCCCAACAACTTCCCATACTCGCGTAGTCTAAAAAAATTATCTCAAATATTATTTTTTGTTATTCACCTCCTCAAGGCCGAGAAGGCCACTACAGACGAGGAGGCTATTTATTAGTGGTTATAACCCTCTCTCGACTCTATAACTCCGAAACACGAACCTTGACAAACAAGGCTGCTGCGAGGAGAAACAAGTTAAGCGCAGTACTACAAGGGACATGGTGGGGATCAAACTCGGAACCTCTCGCTTATGAAGCAAGTGTTTTACCACTACACCACTACCGCATGATATATAATATATAATACCATATAATTTATAATAACACTTCCTACATATAACTTAATAAAATACCAATTCTAATAAAATAATAAAATTCCAATAGTCACATGCTAGGTTTAGGGGTATACATACGCATTAATTCCCCTATTTGTCGTGAAATCAGGTTCGAATCCTTTGACCATTCTTTTATGTGCTTTCGCCTAGCACCTCTTCTCTCTATCACCTTTCTCTTTGTTCTTTATCGTTCTCCTTCTTCCCATGATTGCACTCTTTTAGATGTTATCTCTGATCAAATTGACCATGCCCTCTCTCTTTACCCCTCTGCCAATATTGTTGTTGTTGGTGATTTTAATGCCCATCACACTGAATGACTTGGCTCTAACACCACTGATCCTGCTGGCACTAAAGCCTTTAACTTCTGCGTTTCTCAATCTCTTACTCAGATAGTTAACTTTGTGACTCGTTTTCCTGACAACCCTAATCATTTACCTTCACTCCTTGACTTATATCTTGTCTCTGACCCTAGGTTATGTTCAGTTTCTCCCTTTTCTCCCTTAGGTGGTTCTGACCATGCAATGATCTCTATAAATCTTTCTTCTTGTACTTCTTTTTTGGGCTCACCTTATCATCGCACCACCTACTACTACCCTAAAGCTGACTGGGATTCCTTTCGTGATTTTCTTCGTGATGGTCCTTGGGCTGATGTTTTTTTTCTCTCAGCTGACAAATGTGCCTCCTACGTAACCTCCTGGATTCAGGCTGGAATAGAAGCTTTTATTCCTTCTCGTCGGTTTCAAGTCAAGCCTCATTCTACTCCATGGTTTTCTCCTTCTTGTGCGGCTGCTATATCCAATCGTAATCATTTTTTTCATCTTTTTCAAAAGAACAACTCTCTTGAGAACAAACGGCTATTTATTATTGCAAGAAATCGATGTAAAAAGGTGCTTTCTGATGCTAAACTCCATTATTCTCAGTTCACTAAATCTCGCATCTTATCGCAGAAGTTAGGCTCTAAAGACTTTTGGAAAATCTTCAACAGCATTGTTAACAAGGGTAGATCTAACATTCCGTCTCTCATTCATGGGACTGATCTTGTTACCTCTCCCAGGGATAAGGCAGAACTGTTTGCAAAGAACTTTTCTTCTAATTCCACTCTTGAATCTTATGGACATTCTCTTCCTTCCATTCCAGTCAAACAGGTTGACCCATTGTTAGACATTCAAATCACTCCGGCTTCTGTTGCTAAAGTCATATCTCAATTAAACTCGTCTACAGCTTGTGGTCCAGACAACATTCCTGTCACAGTCTTGCAGAATTGTTCTCCAGAACTTTCTTCAATTCTCTCTAAACTATTTAACAAGTGTTTGACTGAGTCTTGTTTTCCTGCTTGTTGGAAAATGGCATCTGTGGTTCCAATATTCAAAAACTCTGGAGAAAATTCTGACCCCTCCAATTATCGTCCGATCAGTCTTCTTTCTGTTATTAGCAAGGTCTTTGAGTCTTTAATCAGCAAATTCCTCACATCTCATCTTAAGTCAAATAAACTGCTGTCAGACAATCAATACGGTTTTCGATCCTCTCGCTCTACAGCCGACTTGCTAACTGCTGTAACTGAAAGATTTTAACGTGCATTAGATGGAGGCGGTGAGGCTAGGGCTATTGCTCTCGACATATCTAAAGCTTTCGACAAAGTTTGGCATGCTGGTCTTCTCCATAAGCTTGCTTCATATGGTGTTTCTGGGAAAGTTTTTGAGATTATCAAATCATTTCTTTCTGACCGGTTTATTAAAGTCATCATTGAAGGCCAACACTCTTCTTTATTTCCAGTAACTTCTGGGGTTCCCCAAGATTCCATCCTGGGCCCTGTTTTGTTTCTTATCTACATAAACGATCTTCCTGACAACCTTTCATCTAAAGTAGCTCTTTTTGCTGATGGCTCAACTTTATACTCCTGTCTTGACAAAAAGTCTTCTCTTTTCGATCGCCTAGAACAAGCAGCTGATCTTGAATCTGATCTCACTTCAGTAATAGATTGGGGTTCACAGTGGCTTGTGAATTTCAACTCTAAAAAAACCCAATTGCTTACTGCAAACAACTACCGTAGTAGGGTCAACATTCCTATATTAATGAATGGCAAGTCTTCTTGGATTATCGCTTACTACTGACCTTTCATGGAAACCATATATACAATCGATTGCTAAATTAGCTTCTGCTAAGGTTGCTTCTCTTTATCGTGCTCGCCATTTCCTTACTTCTGATTCCATTCTCTACCTCTACAAATCTCTTATTCGTCCCTGTATGGAATACTGTTGTCATATTTGGGCTGGTTCTTCTAACGATTCACTCTCTCTTCTTGACAAGGTCCAAAAACGCATTGTAAATGTTGTTGGACCTGGACTATCTGCTAAGCTTGAACCTCTTTTCCATCGTCGTAAAGTTGCATCTCTATCTCTTTTCTACAGATACTATCATGGTCACTGCTCAAAGGAGTTATCATTTCTAGTTCCATCAACTAAAATTCATTCTCGTTTTACTCGTCATTCAGCTAAGTCTCATTCGTTTTCTGTATCTGTCCCTGCATGCTCTAAAAACTTTTATTCATCTAGTTTTTTTCCCCGCACTTCAATTCTTTGGAACTCTCTCCCATCTTCATGTTTTCCTGACTCATACAACCTTCAACTTTTTAAGTCTTCTGTCAACCGTTTCCTTGCTCTATAACTCTGTTCTTTTTTTTTCCTAGTAACTCCCAACTTAATAGTGGTTGCTTGCAGCCTTGTTGGGAGTGAATGCAAATAAAAAAAAAAAAAAAAAAAAATTCTATATTATATGTATT